TTCTTTCTTTCTTATCTCGATGGAAATAAATCGTATCGATAATGTTTTATAACTTGGTTATTTAGAGTGAAAATGATGATTATTTTATAACGTAGAATTTAAGATCGAACTTGAAGGATAATGTATGTTCGAAGTTTTGTGTGCGCTTTTTCTTTTGGAGATTCGATTGTAATTCGACGAGGATGGATATATTTTTTTTTTTATCTCTGAGAATAAAAGAATTACAATTTTTTCTTATTTATTAAAAATAAATAGAATGAGCATGGATCGATAAAGGATTAGTTAGTCATTAATGAAATGGTACGTGATCACCATTAATTATTCTTTAATAAACTGCTTCAAGTTTTATTGTTGTAAATTAACGGATATAATTAATATTAAGTATTATAGATAGTTAAGTAAAATCGAATATACATGTAACTTCAAAATTGAGAGATATTGCAGGGAAACATCATTGTTACTCGGCGAGAAGAGTAATATATTTTTTTAATATTAGAAAGAAATGTCTAATAAAAAAAATCCACTTTCAATACGAAAACAACTTAAGAAAATTGATCAAGAACCTTGGCACATTACCATCGGTTAATAAAAGTGTCACCAATCGCGCCTGCGTTCTGTGTACTATGTCATAAACAGGCTCATAAAATAATAGAATGTCGGAATAGGCAATTTCGCGTCGAATATGCGATTCGTTGAGTGCCGTTTAAATCATTTTCGAACGAAGATGTTATAATCTCGGCGAGAGTCCAACGATAAATTTACTCCCACCTCCAACTTTACTGCCGTGCAACCGTAACTTGACCAATTGATCGTTTCAATAGTTCTACTTTGACCCTATATGCAATATACACAATATACACATTTTATAGTAGTACAACGTTCCAACGTGGTGGAAGAGATCTAATCGTTGAAAATTATCATAAATAATTAACTATTATATTATCATATATATATATATATGTATCTGCTAATTAATTCAACTTCTTGCTTCCTACCTAGATAATTATATACCCAGTGTAATTAATATATTTTTATTAATATATAATTGTATTAAATTTACCTCGAAAATAATTTGAAAAAAGGAAAAAAAAAAAAAAAAGGATATTTCTCTTACATAACTACAGGTTATACAGAGGATAAACAGAGGATAAACGACGATTTTGAAATTCTTCATTGCTATTTTTCAAATACGCTCTTCTCTTTATTCATTTTGTCATTGAACACCATTAACCGTACGTCTTATAATTCCATTATGCTTGGCAAGACCAGGCCTGACATTATAGATAATGGAAGACCGTAAGGATTTAATGACTGTAACCAGCTTGAAAATCATTTCCATCGGTAAATCCTGATTTTTTTTCTCGTTCAAATAATATTTCTCTATTATCCCCACGCGCAATGAAACATCTTATCGCGTTTATGGCTTCCAATAAAATTGCATCTCGAATTGTTCTCCGTCTCTTTTCTCGATCGGACAATTTAAAAAAGAAAGAAAGAAAGGAAAAGAAAAACCAACTAAAACTTCGGAAATTTATTCGATTTATCCCTGAAAATTATCCTTATCTCGGATCTTTTCCCTTTTCTTTCAATAGCCCGCGAATAAAGCCGCATTCTATAATTTCTATAACACATATATAAACCTCTTTCTTTATTATCATTAATAAATTTCGATCTCGAAATATCCTCTTCATTTCATTTCACAACACGGAATCAGAAATCTAACTTCCCCTTACCAATTTGAATTCACAAATTCCCCCTAAAATTTATCCCCCTTTACCGCTTCGAAGCATCCGTTTAAACAAAGAGAGAGAGAGAGAAAGAGAGAGAAATTATACCCAAGCAAACATCATTCTCGCGGTTTATCCCGCGCCGAAAACAGCGAGAGAAACAGCGGTGAAAAGGAAGAAAATGGTGGAACGAGTATAAGAGGGTTGGCTTGCGGCGGGAGGCGGTAATTGCGTTATTAAGTTGAAAGTGAGGTGCTCGAGAGCGACATCGCCGCCACAACTTTTCCATGAAACGCGTACCAGTGGCCATACCTGCAATCACTACTCCCTCTAGTTTCCCCCTTGAGCCGGGGCGAATGCAAAATACAAAGCAAATTCCACCTTCGCCTCCCCCTCTCCCTNTCTCTCTCTCTCTCTCTCTCTCTCTCTCTCTCTCTCTCTCTCTCTCTCTCTCTCTTTCTCTTTCTGTCCATCGAGATCGAGGATTGGATGTTGCATTCGAGTTCTTTCGAGATTACGTCTTCTTTCAAACTACTTCTTCTCCAAGTGGTGAGTTGTAGGCGGTGGTTTTGTCGTTTTCACGGAAGATTGTTCCTTCTTTTGAGAGGCGGCCTCTTCTTCGGGGAAATTGGGGGTGAATTTGTAATAAAAGTGATTGGAGATCTAAGTCAAACATGCTCTTGTACACTTGTTCGAATATTATCTACACCAATCTCGCAATATATAATATTCTACCCCGATTCAATGTAAAATTTCAACGTCCATTCTCCTCAACTAACAACCGCTTCCCCTCTATCATCCAATTTCTTTTATTTCTTTAAGAAAAATTCCATAAGAATTCAAATCTAATTTTCTTCTATAAAATGTCCCATTCTAATTCCAAATATATCCACATCCAGTGAGAAAATTTCATTAATAACATCCATGCTCGGTTATTTCGAAGGATATCGTGTCAACGACGATATCTATCCTCAACGAGGATATCCACAACTAACAATCACTTCCCCTCCAGGAAATATCATCCAATTTCTCTTATTCCTTTAAGAAAAATTCCATAAGAATTCAAACCTAATTTTCTTCTATAAAATGACATTCCAATTCCAAATATATCCCACGAATCGACCCACATCGTCACCCAGAAAATTTCATCGAACCCGATTTATTCATTCGAAAACCATTCGGTCGCTCGAACGAAACATTAATACATCTATGCTCGGTTATTTCGAAGGATATCGTGTCAACGACGACTAATATCCTCAACTAATAACCACTTCCTCTCTATCATCCAATTTCTCTTATTCCTTTAAGAAAAATTCCATAAGAATCCAAACCTAATTTTCTTCTACAAAATGTCCCATTTCATTAATACATTCATGCTCGGTTATTTCGAAGAAAAATTCCATAAGAATTCAAATCTAATTTTCTTCTATAAAATTTCCCATTCCAATTCCAAATATATCTTATCATATATATATATCGAAGAAAAATTCCATAAGAATTCAAATTTAATTTTCTTCTATAAAATGTCCTATTCCAATTCCAAATATATCTTACCATATATATATCGAAAAAAAATTCCATAAGAATTCAAATCTAATTTTCTTCTATAAAATTTCCTATTCCAATTCTAAATATATCTCACCATATATATATATACCCGATTTATTCGTTCGAAAACTATTTAATCGCTCGAACGAAACATTAATACGTCCATGCTCGGTTATTTCGAAGTTATATCGTGTCAACGACGGCGCACCGCGTCGCCGAGATCGGGATAGCTCGGCGGTGTCTTCGCCGCGGATGGGACTTGCGCGAGAGCTGCGCGCGTATAAGTGGGCCCCGTGTTCCCACGCTGGAGCAGCCTGGAGGGCTTCCCATTCCGCTATCGACTCACATTGGCGGGTATCATGTAGGTATGTATGTATCTTCGTACTTGGCCGGCCATGTACAGGGTGTACCGGTGGAACATATTGGCCCACGATTTCGTGAGACGAATTAACAATCACGTCCTCCGCATCGGGTATCGGGGAGGGGGGGAGCAAGCCTCTCCTTGCTCTCTCTTCATCTCTCTCTTTCTTTCACATTCGTCAAACCCGAGTTAAATTTGTTGTCGAACATAGAGGAGGACAAGCAGTTTTCGATCACTCGAGTGTTGTTTTCATCTTTTCAAAGAATCGTATGCTAATCAATTACATTCAAACGATTCTGTATTTTCTACGCAAGATTTGATTTCATTCGTTCGAATTTTTACATTGCTTTCTTATTGGTCGGTGAATAATAGAAATAAATTTGTTAAGGGTTTTAAGTTTAAATGTAAGCGATTTAAAAAATTGTGTCTCGTGAAAAAATGGATATATGATATCGTGTCTTCTATTCGTCTATGCGTAATAAGACGAAGATAAATGTTCTTATAAATATCTCTTTGAAAAATGGATAAGAGATATTAACAAAGAGATCTGTGACGGGATAAAGTATTTGATAAAAGCGTTAAAAATTTTACAGAGCGTCTTACGTTAAGAACATTTTTAGATATTGTTATCTATAGATTAGGAATCTGATGATACAAAAGATGCAAAAAGAAAAGAGATCTAAGATTTCTTGAATGCATTATCATCGAAGGTAATAAAAAAGAATGTCTAATCAACATAAATCTTCTATCACAGTTTCCCATCTTATATGCATAATTTAGATGCTAATTTTTACACTGTTATTGACGTATACGTTTCATTAATTTTTTTTACGATTAAAAAAATATTATCATCGCGGCAATTTGGTATCGTCGCTCGTTGATTTACGACAATTGATTTAAGAGAGAAAAAGGCGGGTAAATTAAATCTTACCGCCAATTATTCCATAATAATGTTTCTTCTTCAGAAGAAAAGTTGAAAAATGATGATAACAATCAAAATATTCCAACACGTGTAAAAATAATTTTATTTCATTTTTAACGCGCGGTATATATCAATTTCCTTTTTCCCCTCTATAATTTAATATTCTTTTCCAATAATATCTGATGACTTTTCTGATTATTTAAAATCGTACAATGAACAATTATTATTCTGCCAACAATCGGATTTCTGACCGAAAACGAACAATTTCCCCGATATTAAATGTCTATTCCCATAGAAATAGAATCTTCTAGAAATAGAACGCATTATTTTCCGATAGAAAAAAGAAAGAAAGAAAGAAAGAAAGAAATGTTTAACCCATTCACCGACTCCTCTCATTTATTATCGTAAGACGAAGAGCATGCAAGTCGAGCCTGACACTCACCTCGCAAATCTTTCTTTGTCCTGTACATTCTCGTTCTCCAACCTTCTATATTTACACCCACTGGGATCATCCTCGTCGGATCTGTAAAGATACAAGCATTTAGAATAACGTGCAATTATCGCTATGCAATTATTTGCATTTATATCATAGAAAATTTATAATGATACAATATTATACTCGTATATGAGAACTCTGTGATATTCTTTGTAAACAAAGTTTATATATTATTATTTATTATTATTATTTATATTAACGTTATATGTTATTATTATTAACGAATGTGAAAAATTGTTGAAAAATGGATACGGTGAAAATTTATTAAAATAATATTACTAATACGTAAGATCCTTCATCAAAATCTTTCTAACAATTTCTAAGAAAATTAGAAAAAGGAAAAAATTACGAACGAAACAAAATTTAGCAGAAAAATCTAGAAATTTATCATCATCATTTCATCATCACAATAAAATTCCCTAGCTAAATCTTATCTCACATTTATCTCATTTTTCCATCCTCTTTCCATTTAACATAATAGCTACGTAATGCAACGACGATTAGATTAATATTATCCACGAGAAATAAAGTCGAGGAACAAAAGATAAAAAAAAAAAAAAAAAAAAAAAAAAAATGAAAACGAGACAATAAGCGACCACGTGGCAATCGGCCATTGCCGATCCAATGACGATGGAGGTTCGACTCGTTGCGCAAAAAGTCACGCGAAAACTCCTCTTCCTCGCACGACCTTCGTTCTTGGGGAACGTCGTTCACCGAGGTCCATCTGCCGTTCGAAACGATCGAATATTCCACGTACGTAGCGAATAAATGTCGCGTCGCCGATACGCCGTAGTGTAATCACTTCCGGATTACCAAACGCGACACGGGGACGTTTACAAAATTGGCCGTCGCCTATCCGACTTCCCCAAATCTAGAGCGTATCGTGTAACAGTAAGCGCGAACAGAGAGGGGCTATGCTCCTCATGCAATATTCACGCGAGCATTCTGCTCTCTATAATATAACCACGTGGTCGGGACCGATGGATAAATATGGATTCCGATTTATTAATTTTTCTATCCCCATTTATCTTGTAGAAAGAGACGAGATCGATAATTTTAAATTTATTTCATATCTTTATTTTATCCCAAATTTTCGTAATCGAAAGTATTAGCAAAGCTCGATGTAATTATTAATTGTGAATGAATTTGATTGATCATGTACGATTGATATCGTTATATTATTATATTCTTGCGCAATTTTTTTCTTTTCGTTTTCGTTCTTAAGAGAATTATTAACTAGAATTATAAGCTGTTATAAGAAAAAAAAAAAAAAAAAAAACATGAAAATGCATGAATAAATACTTGTGACGTTGAATTTTATTTACATATGCATGATAGGATTACACATCGTTAAATATCATACATATGTAATTATTTACCTGAAGTCGGGACATTTGCTTTTTACATCTACCTTCAATATGGAGATAAATCTTTTTCCTTAATGCTGAAATAATCCAGATAAAAAAGTGTATCTTAAAGTGCTTTAAGTGATGTCAAACTGGACCCACTGATTCGTCACACAACTCAAATCTCCTCGTCTTCTTTTCGAAAAATAGAGAAAGAAAAACGAGACGAAAGAAATAAAACCACGATATATAACAATAAGAAGTAAAACTATACAAAGAAAGTATTGTGGTATAAATCCCTTATTGACATCTCGTTACCGTCATTCTTGTTTCCTCGATCGAGCGCGATCGGGGTATTAACCACGGGATAGAAAATTATACTCCCATTGGAGGTTCGCGGTACACATAGAAATCCCTGGCCTATCGTCAGTCTATTACAGCGGCATGAGCGCGCGCGCGCGCGAGCACTCGGGTGATGTACGCCTCTGACCCTGAGCGAAAAACCGAGTTCCCCTTCCTCTACCCCCTCCCTCTATCCCCTTCTTCTTTTTCTCTTTCTTTGCCCCGGCGAACGTTACGCCGAGCTACAGCCAGCATCTGCCCCCCACCACCGCGCCGGAGTAACGGAGAGTCAGGGTGGGGGTGGTGTAGGGCCCGCAGTGTATCCGGGTACAACGAGAAGGCCCCATATTCCTTCACCGTTCCCCTTCTCTACCCCCTTTTTTTTTTTCTATACTCTCCGCGTGTGTTTGCCCGCTTTCAACCTCTTTTTCTCTGCTCTCCTTTTTTCTTTCTTTTTTTATTCTTTTTTTCCTGCCCCCGAGAAGTCGACGAGAGACAAGGAGAGATGATAGGAGACTTATGTACAGTACACGATGAATGCGGTATTACGTCGATTTAATGTATTTATGGTAGCATGCTTGGTAGCTAGGCGTCCCTTGGATACGGACTCTCCAACTCTTTCCACGCTGGAAGGGTTTTTGGGACTCGTTGAGACTTCGATGCGTAGAGATTTTCTTTGAGATTCGTTGCGCGGTTGGTGAACGGTTTCTTCTGGGATTGTTTGGGTTTTGGTCTCGAGTGATTTTTTTATATTATTTTATTTGGGCATAACGTTGGATTGTTTAAGATTGTTCTTATCGATCGAAGCGTTTCATTCGGATATATTTTTGGAATTTTATTTTAAAAAGATCAAAGATATTTTTATAGTTGTTTGAACTGTATGCTTTATAAGATTTATTAATTTCTTTTTGGAATGAAAATTATTTGTTATCTTGTCAAGAAAGATATCATTTTTGGGACCGATTTTTGGGACTCGCGAGGTAAAATCAAAGAAAAGGAAAGAATTGACTTTCTCTAGCGGTTAACGTTCTTTGGCTGTAATCTCTAAGAGATGTTGTTTTTTATTTTAATAATTTATAACCCAACGTTGGTGAACGTGTTGGAAGTTGTTGGCTACGACATTTTGGATATCGATCGTAGAACATGGTGAAAGTGTCTAGGCCTAGTGATTCAGAGGGGGACCGCGCACGTGTAGATTTTGCAGTCAGATCACAAATCTCTGTATTTCTTGGATCTTGGAGCATTCGATAATTTGTAGCCGCGAACGCCGTGGGAATGGAGCACCTATTCCGATTTTTATCTCCTTTATCTGGATAGTAAATCATCAGAAACGGGTAACACACTAGATCCTCGCGCGTTAGAAACGAGGAAATATCGCGACTTCAACCCTTCCACCTTCGCCCCTGTCCTATCGTTGTACCAGTTTCATTTCCTTTCCTTTACTTATTTTTCCATTCGAATTTCACTTTCTCGTTTTTAATCCTTACTTTTCATTCGTCCGCGTATTCCTTTTTATTTCATTTTAAAAAAAGTTTCACTTTTCCAACTATTCTTTTTTTTAAAACTTAACACATCTCAGCCTTTTCGACTCGAGGAATTAGAAAACACTCGAATAATAGGAAAAGAAATTGCCGACAAAAAAAATGTAAAGTCTGTTCATCCAATGGAGAAAGGAGCGAAAGATATAATTGCGCAAAGAGAATGCTTCACCGGATATCGTAATCTGAAACATTATTCGAGTATTTGTAAAATAAATAATAATTAATCGATTTAAAATGTAAAAAAGCCTACGTGATAAAATAAACGTATAAGAAACGTATAGTAATATTTAAGAATACTTTATAAATCTGAGTTAAATAAATCACACTAAAGTTCATATATACATGGTGTACTTTTTTTTAGAGATTCGAACGAGTTTATTTATAATATAAATAAATAAAATCCCTTTCCTTCTTTTCACTCGTCCACGTATTTCCTTTTTATTCCATTTTAGAAAATCGCGCAAAAACGTTCGAAACACCCGTCTATCATCTCAACGATCTCGCAAACGCGCGAATCTCGTCCAATCCAAGCAAGCGTACAAAAAGAAAAGGACAATATAATATAAACCCACGTTATAGGTTCGTTAATCCGGGAACAGAGCGTTCCCTCATCGGCCATTATCCTGCGTATAAGGATCGTAATAATGTCTTGATAACCCTTCCTCGACCGGTTCCCTTCTCCCCTTCGTATCGCGTTGCGTTAATGAGATGCATCGTTACACGCGTATTGTGCGATTGATCTTAACACGCGGCGAATGGCGACGCATCCGTTCGTGGATTCCTCGCCGATCGATCGATTAACATCTCGACGGGATAAAGGCATCGCCGGAGAACAACGATGGATAAGATCGATTAAAAGTTTGCGTCGCTTGGTGGTGGAGAACGATGATGGATCGATGGAACTTTTTACTCTTTTCCTTCTTCTTTCTTTTTATTCAATCGAGATCGTTTGCCAAAGATCGATTTAAGATTTCGAAAAGTAATAATATATTTATTATATTATCTTCTCCTTTTTATTCAATCGAGATCGTTTGCCAAAGATCGATTTAAGATTTCGAAAAGTAATAATATATTTATTTATATAATAATATAATTATTTATATAATAATATATTATCTTCTTCTTTTTATTCGGTATTCAATTGAGATCGTTAACCAAAGATCGATTTATGATTTCGAAAAGTAATAATATATTTATATCTTCTCCTTTTTATTTGGTATTCAATCGAGATCGTTTGCCAAAAATCGATTTAAGATTTCGAAAATATTGTTATCGATAAAGAGGTTCTTTGAGTTCTATATATCTAGGATATATTTTCTCCTTTTTATTCGGTATTCAATCGAGATCGTTAACCAAAGATCGATTTAAGATTTCGAAAAGTAATAATATATTTATATCTTTTCCTTTTTATTCGGTATTCAATTGAGATCGTTAACCAAAGATCGATTTAAGATTTCGAAAATATTATTATCGATAAAAAGATTCTTTGATTAAGATTTCGAAAATATTATTATCGATAAAGAGATTCTTTGAGTTGTACATATCTAGAATATCTTCTCCTTTTTATTCGGTATTCAATCGAGATCGTTTGCCAAAAATCGATTTAAGATTTCGAAAAGTAATAATATATTTATTTATATAATAATATAATTATTTATATAATAATATATTATCTTCTCCTTTTTATTCGGTATTCAATTGAGATCGTTTGCCAAAGATCGATTTAAGATTTCGAAAAGTAATAATATTTATATCTTCTCCTTTTTATTCGGTATTCAATCGAAATCGTTTGTCAAAG